CACTTTTAACTACCATAAATGGTTTATAATTTTCTGCATCACATTCTTATTTTATAAATTGTGTATAGTACTTTTTTTACTTAAAGTTCTATTCAATAAGAAAAAAAGGCCAAATTGCAAGAAGTCAATAGACAGTATAATTCCAATTGGAATAATGATGAGAGACACAACAATGAGGTTCTTATAAAGAATGAAATTTGAATCTAATTAATTCAAAGGGAAAAATGCTAAAATCAAATATGTATTTTCAAAAAAAAAAAGAAAAAAGAACTATTGGGTAAAGCACATTTTAGTATGTAGTATTTATCTACAAAAAGATACCAAAACATTTGTATTAAGACAAAAAAAAACGGCAATTAATACTAAGGTTTCATGGACAATTTATGCCAACATAAAATATAAATTGGTTGAATAAAAATAATACAAAAATTTATAAACCTTACTTTCTTCAAATATGTATATAAGTTTTCATAAATTTCTATTCACATTACATATTTTATACGAATTTCTTTTGTTATGGGATGTAATATGTGATGGTCATTTAAAAATATGGTTTTATAAACAGAATAAACACATTTTTAAAAATTCATTAATATTTATATTTAATAACACACCTCATTAGCAAAACACAAACAAATTTGAAGTAATATTTTATAATTGCATTCTCTATTACCACTGCATCAATTTGATTCACAGATGGCTATAGTAACATATGACTCACAGAATTTGACTATATTAAATCATACTATAAAGATGTCAGATTTCAAGTGTAAAGACAAAAACTGGACTGACATCTGTTATTGTCACACAGTTTTTGTCATGAATCAGTTAAATTCATATGTCCTACTTGTTTGTTATATATGTAAAACTTAATATATTACTTACTGGGTGATATTGTTTTAAAAAAGCATGCATGCGTTCTATTTCTTCCGATGTTAAACTTTTTATTATGAAGAATTTGTTGTAACTTTGATAAAATTGTGCTCCAGATTTTCCAGAAGATTCAATTTGCAATGGTTGTGATCGTGTAAGGGATTCGCGATAATCTACATCATCAATACCAAAGCGTTCCCGTAAATTCCTGAATACAAGTGGACAGTACTCTTTAACCTTAAAATGCGAAGGCATATTTTCTCTAACAAAACAATACATTAGTATATATAACTTTATTTTAGCAGTAGGAATACTTATTAAATAGATGATTATCGACTTTGATCTTAGAGTACGCACGGAAGTCGTCTGGTAGCAGCATAACTGGTATATTCACATGGCTCAACTCATTTATCTAATTAAATAAAAACGAAAAAAATTATCTAATAAATCAGAATTAAAATTTTTTTGACTTCATTCTTTACATACCGTATGATTAATACCCCACATAAATACACTTAATATTGGTTCATTTGCCCGAAACAATTTAACTTTTTGATGTTTGACTCGGAAATGTTTTTTCTTCAAAATGCGAGGTTGAGACGCATTAGCGACTTTTTTGTCCATTTTTGACTGTTTATCCTTATCAGTTGTTTAAGGTTCGATGTCTACACTAGATTAAAAACTTTATTTAAAAAGCTATTGGTATGCAGCCAAAACAATAAAAAAATTTTGAATGGGCAAGATACAATAAAAATTATGATTTATATATTTGCTCTATTCCAATAATTCACACATATGTATATATTTCTAGGAATATTGATGCTTTTATTTTACTGTTTAATAGTTATATTTTAAATTTATATAAAACCATTTATTTAAATCAGATATTGTGAACGCCCACATCTTATAGTGATTAATCCAATGAATCTGTATTAAATTTTAAGACATAATATATGTTCGAAAACACAATTCAACAACAACTAATCTGCGGTATTGTGATATTTAGAACCAATATTGTTAAACCTTCACCTGAGCGCAACCACATTCATATAGTAAAATCTTCTAATATATAATTAATATAACGCCAAGAACATATACGCGCAATCCTAAAATGCATTAAAATGCCACAATGTTTTTCTGAATATTGCGATTTACTTTCTGAAAAAATTTTTTGTGATGCACAAAAACTAAATTATAGCATCGATAACGATAACTAAGCATATGAATAAAAACCAGTGTTGAAAAAGAATTCATTTGAATAAATAAACAAACACAATTCAAGTTATGAAAGTTCGCAAAAGAGAACATAGATATGCACACATACATATTTTAAATAGTGTAGTGATTGTGTGTGGTTACAAGCAGAATTAAATATAATGATAGAATTGAATTTTATAACAAATTTAAATTCCAACGAAATGTCAAAACATGTATTAAGTTCAAATAAAATACGATTGGTCACGATCATAATACTACGTTTCCACTTCTTTTCCTGTTTTTTTGTAAGTTACTTAGTAACATTGAGCTTTTGGTCGATCACATTAGCACAAGCTACTTAAGGAATGGGAAAGAGGTTTTATGTGTCAAAAATTTCTATTTGTAGATCTTTTATTTGTCTACATATTAATTGTAAAGAGCTGATATTAAATTTTGTGTTGGAAGAAAAGCATGAAAAATGCAGAAAATTTAAATAATTTATTCAATATTATATGTTACATTGTTCATATAATAAATCTAGCAGTGGTTGCATATAGAAAAGAACGTGCAATGATTTATAAAATAATATAAATTATTTAATTTTCAGTACGTTTATTTTCAACTAATAATTACACTAATAACTTACAAATTAAAATTATATTGATAATAAATAAAAAACTAAAAAATTAAAAATAAAAAAATATACGTAGTGTCTGGTGACTAGTCACGACCCGTGATGGCCCTTTCGTGCGGATATCGTCTTTCCATCTATGAAATTGAATTGAATTTTTTTTTCAATGTGTTTCTTCCGTTATGTGGCCAATATAAATAACTGCTCACCGTCCTGAGTCCACATAGTCCCACTTCTTTTGTTATTTCCTAATAGTAAAAATAGTTTATTTTATTGAATTACAAACATTATAAATGCACTATAGAAACTTGTGAGCTCTTCTCCATTATCTGTCCTGATATAGGTACAACAGAAATGAATATTTTTTGTTAAATAATATATGACAGGCGTTTCCGGTGGCTCACAAGAGTGGCAAAAAACAGCAAACCGAAATTTACTATCTCGGGCACGGCATGAGTAAAATAGTTGCTGTTTTCAATGCAAATTATAAAACTGGATTGAGAGAAAAGACAATATGTCGGTTAAAATTCCAACATGAGAGCCGGCGTATTTGTGCCACGGCACGAAGGCAAAGCAGTCTTGTTTAGTAATAAATTTCAAAATTTGCGTCTTTTAGGAGCAAATACCTTCAATTTCAATACGTTTTGGAAGAAAAATGGCAGTTAGCAACACAGCCTATTTTATAAACTACTAATAATCAAATTATTACATTTTCCGATTTTAAGGAAAGGCGTAGAATTTTGTAATTACTGTTAACAATTATTATAAGATAATATAATAATAAATTAAAATTTTTACAGCTTTTATGAATTTTTTCTTGGTGGCTATTTTAAGTGGCAAATTAAAAAAAGCATATCACATGTCCTTTTAAATTTAGGCACAACCAAAAAGGACAAAGTAGTAAAAATGCAAAATTGGCACTTCACATAACACGAATTTTCCGCATAGCGCGAAAGAGCCTATTTTGCCGTGCCCGCGACACTCTACATAACATGGCTATAGGCCAGTAGTTGTTTACTGCCCAAACACTTCAGCCAGTAGAGAAAAAAATGTCACGAATGCAATAAGCGAACTATTGTGAACGCTTATTGGATATTTCAACGAATATTGTAATCATATGTCAAAAAGCATATGTAAATAAAATTCAAAAATTTCATAAATTTGAAAATTGGGAGATTTCCGACATTCATATCATCCTTTTGATTCAGCATTCATTTTAATTTTCAATTTTATATTAATTATTTATTTTTATACAAAATGTAATTCGCTAAAAATGCTAATTTGTGAAAACATAATATTGGGGCATATTTATTTTTTTTTTTTATTTTCAAAAAGGGTTGGGAACTAGTCACCGCGTCACTGCATCCTCGAGGATTATTGTGACTTACCCACTTTAGTTCCATAGACGAGTAGCAGTTAAGAATGCCAATATGTCCTTTGGAGAGATGTTGCCTAATTTCGTTATAAGCGGATAGGCAGTGGATAAGTAGCGAAGTCTGAGTCTTGCTAGACTTCCGATAGTGGAACGGTCTCTTCTTTACCTGGGAAGTAGGCAGAGACCACGACTTTGTCTGTGACCCCTCCTAATGTGGCCACCGTACACCCACGGCTCTTGTATAAGTCCTAGAGCGATGTTGTTGATTTGGCAATTCCGCACAGGGTGGCTGATGCTCCTTTAGCATAGTGCAGATTTGCCTGAAACACTCTGAGAGTGTTCATTTGGTTTCGTTAAGAGACTTTCGGACGAGACTTTCACGTTTGTCTCGTTGAGAACCTTTGTCCTTGGCACCGTTTGATTGCTTCGGTAAAATTTTACTGATTAAGGGGGGTTTAGTGATAGTGGTGCTTGGTGTACCTGCAACTGTTACTGTACCCGTGGAGGGCATTGTTTATAAGGTGGGAATCTGGGCACCGCCCCCATTAGCAGTACTAACAGCCTTACTAGTGAAGGGACGAGTGTCTAGTTCCTCTTCCTCAGAAGTAGCCACTGTTGGGCAACAATCCGTATGGGATGTTGAGGGAGCCGAGGATGACTGGATGGTTTTGTCATCCTAAACCACCTTAGGAACATTATCCACGGGGTGTGAGAGAGAGCTGGAGTGGTTCACTTAAGCATCAGTCTCAAATGAACCGGTATGCAATCCGATCTTTTAGTTCGGACAACTTCCTCATGGATTCATCATCAATGACGAAAACTAGGTAGGTAGGTTGGAGTGGCGCCCTTGTTTACCAAGAAAGCCCACTTGAGCACAAACAATGGCCCGTTGTGGTACGACATGGAAAAAGCGATGTTCGTATATAGACAAGGTGATCAGTATACGACCAACGCCCAACAGAGAGGCAACAATTCCCCCATTAGGTAAAAGAATACCAACCCGACAGTTCTATGCCAAGTCCCTCACATTGTATGATCGGATGACAGCTCAGTCAGATCGGTCAGAAAAGGGGCACCCAAGATTTTTGATCTTCTTCTGGCTAAAGATGGGTACTGACACATGAGATTGAACACAGTTTTCTCCTCGTCCTCAGAGCTACAACCGCGACAGAGGTCATTATAAGGAAGACCCAGTCTCATAGCATGCCTCCCTATCAGCAGTGACCCGTCAGCACCGATACCGTAGTGCTGAGCAGATTCCTCTTTAGTTGGAGCAGCTGATTCGTACGTTTTTTGTCCAAGTTAGGCCAAATCGATCTGGAAATGTGACAACTGGGCTCAATTGCCCATTGTTGCTTAGCAATGTTTAAATTTTTTTGTTTAATAGCCAGTTTAGCTGGCATTAGTTTAGTTTAGTTGTCGTTATTGGAACGCCAATTTCTAATAAGTGAATACCAGGGAGAAGAGCTCTAGCCTTGGCAAACTCATCCGCCTACCAGGAACCCAGGTAAGGTGAACGTTAGCGCACATAGCTTGGTCGTTGATGGAAGCACGGCAATTTTAAGTAGTAATTGATGGGGCTGAGGTGCTTACCAGTGATTTAATGGCAGCTTGGCTGTCCGAGAAAATTGAAAAATTTTCTTCGGAGGTGCGGTTGCCAAGAATCCTTTTAAAAGCATAATGGATAGCCATAACTTCTGCTTGAAAAACACCACAGTAGTACTGCGTGTCGATTTTTAGAGCCTCTGCTATGCTATGATCTGATGACATAGCCGCCTTGAACCTTCTTTGTTCCTTTTTTTTGGGGTGAGTGAATTTCGAAGCCTCCGAAGTGAGGATGCTTACTTTAGAGCCGACGATAGGTAGATCGGACTTTTGTGCGACCCCACTGCCGGTGTCGGAGTTTCAAGACTAAGTGGTTTCGAAATTTGAAGACATAACATATCATATGACGATGATTGCGGAACTCAAGCTACGTGCCAGAACCCCATATCATTGTGCAACAAGATAAACCCATATTTTTCCAATGTAGCCGCATTAGATGTGATAGAAGCGCTCACTTATCACCAATAATATCTTCCGCAACTTTCTCTCCTTCTTGAATTACAAAAATATCTTCTGCTTTTTCCATCAATATCGGTAATACTAGGATCCACCACTATACCTAAATCCTGGGTGATATATTCGAGTGCATGTTGATTTTTTCTGCACATGCCATGTCGATGTGCAGCCGGATGAAATCATTTAATAACGTGTTGAAGGCTCTTACAGATTGATCACGGCGTAAAGATGAAGAATTCATATCTCATCATCCTGAAGATTAGAAACACATACATAGCAATATAACGTCCTTTGGCGATTTATACAGCTCTAGTATGTAGTTCACAGCTCTGCGATATGAAACGGAATAACATTTAATCCTGTCAGAACCCAACTTTGCTATTGATATCGCATATTCACAACCATAAGAATCTAAAGTACATCTTGTAATTAGCATAACCAATTTCTACCAAACAAAATCTTTTTGCGTTCTGTATAGAGCACATACTCCAACGAGCAGTCTTGAATATTCATCTATACTTCTGTTTAAATCATAGATATATCGACATATATTGCAATGGAGCTCATTGCAGATCAGTGAGGTTGTAAATGAAAATGAACGAATAGCCCACATTTCCCAGAAAGAATGATGACTTCCCTGTAAACAAAGAGCTGTAAAAGAACTGTGTCGGTAAAAGAACAAAGAGAAGGAACAAAAAGAAGTCTATGATTGTAAGAACTTTAGTAATTATAATGTTCTTTAGAGATGGAACGAACTAAAAAAATTAAGATTGTAGTTTTTTCGTGTTTTGATAAAATGTATGTAGAAGTAAATTGGGTCGCCGAACACATAACAAATTGTTGTATGATAATGGTGGCAATAAATATAAACCCAATGCAATAACGTCGATTAGTATAAGTAAAAACAAAGCAATTACTAATTGTGTATATTA